GGAGAGGGGAGAAGGGAGGATTTCCAAGCCATTTTTTAACTTTGTCTTTGAGTTCCGGGTTTCCCGGACACTCACCCTGAACTAGACTGTCGTTCTCCCACCGCGTCGCTATCCGGCCTCTTAGCACCTGGAGGGGTTGGAGGAACAAAAGGTCCCCCATCCCCCCGACAGGCTCGAGGCAGTTGGGCTGCGGCGCCCGCGTCCCTTTCTCCTCGACCAGCTCCTCTCACCGGAAGTCGAAGCGAGAGGGCGGGCCGAGGCGGGGGGCGGTCGGGGCCCTTAACGGGTGGGCGCTGAGGTTGGTTAGAGGCATCCGTCCGGCTGGCTTCCGCTCGGGGTGTGCTGGGTCCCCAGCGGCCGGCTTGCCCAGGGGGTGCTGGTCGGGGGTGGGGGTGGGGGCGTGCACTCCCCCCGGAGCGAGGAGGCCCCGCTGAGGGTCCAGGAGGAAGCCCTGCCCCGGACTGTGGTCACCGCTCCGGGCAGAGGTCTCTGCGTTTCCTCCGGGGAGCGGTCGGGGTGGGGACTGGGAGGGAGAGCATCCAGCCCCGGAGGACGTTAAAAAGCACAGGTTGACCATGACCGGTTTGGCTCAGTGGATAGAGCATCGGCCTGCGGACTGAAGGGTCCCAGGTTCGATTCCGGTCAAGGGCATGTACCTGGGTTGCGGGCACATCCCCAGTAGGAGGTGTGCAGGAGGCAGCCGATCAATGTTTCTCTCTCATCGATGTTTCTAACTCTCTATCTCTCTCCCTTCCTCTCTGTAAAAAATCAATAAGATGTATTTAAAAAAAAATAGCACAGGTTGTCGGCCTCCCCGAGGAGACCTGGCGTGGGACTCAGGAATGTGCCTCTCCAGCAAGTTCCCGGGGCTGCTGACCTGGGGCCACACTTCTGAGAGCCCGTGATGGCGAACCTTTTGAGCTGAGCGTGTCAGCATTTTGAAAAACCCTAACTTAACTCTGGTGCCGTGTCACATAGAGAAATGTTTTGATATTTGCAACCATAGTAAAACAAAGATTTATATTTTTGATACTTAATTTTATATATTTAAATGCCATTTAACAAAGAAAAATCGACCAAAAAAATGAGTTCGCATGTCACCTCTGACACGCTGGATTAGAGGGTGTGTGGTCAGAGCCGGGGGGCCAGGAGACGGTGCGTGTGAGCAGCAGTGCAGGCGTCATAACAGTGCAAGCAGGAATGCCTGGTGCCTTCAGGGCCTCGCCTCACCTTTCCATTCCGTTTGTACCTTAGTTTGCCTCGCCATTGCTTCCTTACTCTCCTATCAGAGAAACCCCCAAAGCAGGGTTTGTCCCTGAAATCACCTTCTCTGGATCTTGCTTCTCTTCTGCATCAAACATTTTGGTAAATTGGTCTATCTAACTTGGCTTCCTTAACGCAGTACCCTCTGCTCCCCCTGCCCCTCCCAACGTCAGGGAACATTTCTGAGTTCTTTCTAGAAGTTATTGCCAAACCCAGTCATTCCTTCAGTACTCCCCTTTGGGCCTCCTCGGAGCATCTAAGGTGTTGTTACCCATGGCCTTAAAATGTCACTCCACTGTCCTTGTTACCTCCCCCAATACTTTGTATTTGCTAGGCTCCTCTTTTCTGTATGCACGCCTTTTATTTTGTGTCATGCTTTCTTACATGTGCAATGGACTGTGGATGAAGGGGGCCATATGCTGACCTGACAAACTCAGGAGAGGCCTGCATGGCGGTCTTGCAAACTCAGAGACCTAAAGTAACCACAAAGGATGGTCTGAAGTTAAACTTTAAAAGCCGTTATGGTAGGCAATTACGTCCTAGGCCGGTATCTTCACTGACAAGGTCAACCTTTACCTTAACTGAGCCTATCTGTCTTTTTGCATCTATGATAACATACCCTTGAAATGTCTGGGTAACTTGTAACTTCCCTTTTTCTGGAGCCTCTGGAGCACCACCAACTGTGCTGGGCGCCAGGACAGATACTACAAATTCCTTCATTATCATGTTAATTGATCCTGCACCCACCTAAGTATGTGTCCATCATTTTACTTTTTATCCAATCCCAGGGGTTTCCCCTGCTTTGCTTAATCTATCACCAATGAATTTCATGTAACCACCTACGTCCCTCCTTTGATTGCAATGTATAAATACAAACGTAACCCTGCCATTCTCCGGAGCATTATCTCAATTCGTTGAGGTTCTGCTTCCCGTCATATGTCAACAGTTTGGCTCAAATAAACTCACAAAAATTCTTTACAGGTTTCAATGGTTTTTTTTTACGTTAACAGGACATAAGAAATGCCCAAACCTTCAGAGAATTTTTATAAGGGTTGATGTGAGCCAAAATGATGCCATATATTGGGAAGCAAGATCTCAAATGCTCCAGAGAATGACAGCTGTTTTTTTTAACCTAACATGTTATCTTCTTTTTTTCTTTGTATTTCATTATCTTATTATTTTCACCTTTATTGTTGAAAGTATTACATATGTCCCCCCTTCCCCCACATTGACCATTTCTAGCCTGACCCTGCCGCCCCAGGCCTTCACCACCCTATTGTCTATGTCCATGTTATGCACATAAGCATGCAAGTTCTTTGGTAATTCTCTCCCTCCCCCCACCTTTCCTCTGACAGTTTTTAAGTTTCTTTTATACATTTGGAATTAAGGAGGGAATGACAGGAAGATGACATGAAAGTAGGAAAAAGAAAGGTGGGGATTGGGTTACAGGAAAGTTAACAAAATAATGTGCTTTCTTGAGGATGGTTACTCCTTGAGGGGCCTGGAAAAGAGGATTACTTCTGGCATTTCAAGGTGTGTTAACCTAGATGCACAAGAACAATGAGTAGGGCTGGCTTAACCTTTTACTAAAGAAGTTATAGGCTTGGGCCATGACTACCCAGCACACCTGGCAGTCTCATACATTTCCAGGTATTTAGTTTTATCTCCATTTAAAAGAGTTCCAAATTCAAATATCGAATTATTAAATATTTACTGAGTCCAGACTCTGTGCCCTTCCAGGCTGAGTAAACAGCAGTGTGAAGGGCCTGACCTGTTAAACCAAAGGAGGCTAGTGTGTCAGATGAGACAGATGGATGTGAGAAGCAGAGGGAAGTGGCAAGAGTCAGATCTCTACGTCTAGCGTTTTTCCCAAACTCCCAATCCACCTTATCTGGTATCTCCTCTGAACACCAAACTAAAAACTCTTAGTACTATTGATTACTCTTCTCCCCAAACTGTATTTCTCACTTCCACAGTCTGTTAAAGATACAATGTTTCACTAATAAAGATATTAGCTATTTTTATATAGCAGGCACATATGTCATGCATTCTTCTAAGCACTTAATATATTAACTAGAGGCCCAGTGCATGGATTCCTGCACATTGAAAGGAAATTAATTAGAAGGTGGCCGTTGGGGTGGGACTGGGCCAGATGGGCCAGACACGCCCTGGAGCCAACCTCCTGCTCCCTGGCCAGCCGCACCTGGGGTGGTGCTGGGGCTCGAAGGGCGTCTGCAGAGTGAGTGGGTCGGTCCACTCCAATCTTTATTATTTCCTTCCTGAAAAGATTGCCATAGACCACTGTTTTTACCTAAAGTTTAGCAGTTTTTCATAAACACTTCTCTATTTGTTGGCTTTTGCTTGATATTTGGAGTCCTGAAATAGTAGTTTGGGACACTTGCCCAGTTTTATAGTATTTTTGGAGACAGATTTGCTGACCTCTTCACTTTGCCATTGCCGCAAGTTCCCCATGTAACTTTTAGATGTAAAATTTCAACCTATTTATTTATTTTTAAAACATATATATTTATTAATTTCAGAGAGGAAGGGAGAGAGATTGAAACATCAATGATGAGAGAGAATCACTGATCAGCTGCCTCCTGCAGGCCCCACACTGGGGATCAAGGCCGCAACCCGGGCATGTGCCCCGACTGGGAATTGAACTGTGACCTCCGTTTCATAGATCGATGCTCAACCACTGAGTCACGCAAGCCCAGCAAATTTCAACCTATTTAGATGAAAGCTGCTAGGTGCTGCATGTGAACTTGTTACTATTTTTAACTTTGGTGGTGGAAATAGATAAATGTTTCCTTTTCAAGGGCAAGTAGCAATAGGTCTTTCTTCCAGCAACTAGGAAGATGCCAAGGGTCTATTTTGAAAAGCACAATGCTTCCCTTGGAAAATGATCTGGGAAAAGTATTTATGTTCCTATGTTTTGGATTAATGATTGTAGAAAACCTTATGAACCTGGCTTTAAAAAAAATTAAAAAAATATATATATATACACACATATATACATACACACACACACACACACACACACACTCATACACACATGTGCATGTTAGCATAAGTAGCTAGTTAGTTAAGAAGGGAGTCAATGGAATTGGACATTAAACCTGATTCACTAGGAAGCCACGCATTCACAGGCTTTCCAGGGAACAGTGCCTTCTCCACCCAGGGGACTTCATTCCGGAAGTGGGCAGGAAGAATCAGCTCCAGTCATTAGCTGTGATTACCAAGGGAGGAATAAAAACAGCAGTGGCAGTTCCTTTGCTGGGTGCATGTGGCAACTTAAAGGGGTGGAGTCTAGCCTGGAAAACCTGGGGGAAGATTGGAGGGGACAGGGGGAGGATGCAGCACAAGCCCACAGGAGATAGAAGAGAGATTGGTTAGTTTGAAAGAAAGCCTGCTCTCTCCCAAGTCCAAAGTCATATAACCAAATCATAACAAAGAGCTGTCTTGGTAGCACGCTTTTGTTTGCGCCTTCACTCCTGTGTGCTCTCTCTGTAGTAGCTGTGTGGGCTAAAGTGTTCCAACCCACTGAGCAACCCGGCCAAGGCTTCACTTACGTTTTTAAAACATCTTTTAAAAAAGAAGTAAATCTTTTTAAAATATGATTTTTATTTATTTTAGAGAGAGAGGGAAAGAGAGAGAAACACTAATTGCCTCCTACATGCCCCGACCGGGAATTTAACCCATAAACTGGAGGTATGTGCCCTGACCGGGAATAAATCCAGTAAACTTTTGGTGCACGGGATGATGCTCAACCAACTGAGCCACCATGGCCAGGGCTAAAACATCTTTTTATTTCAACTTATTTTACCCCGGCTGCTCCCACTAAGTTCCCCAACTCTTCTGCTCATGTGTTCAGAAATCTTTCGTAAATTTTGTCCTGCCCATGACCCCTCTGCTCCTGTCTCCTTTCTCCTGGTGCTCCTGTCCCACTTTCTCCCTTGGACTCTTGTGCCCTAGTGGAGCCTCCAAAGTCAGCGGATGGGCCTGTGAACAGCTGTGTCCCAGTCCCTTCAATCACATGGGCTCAGTGCCTCCCGTGACCTTCAACCTCCTCCAGGCTGTAAGGCATGTCTAATGTTTACCTTCTCTCACCAACCACCAAACTCGCTCAGCTCGGCCTATCCTCCATTCGCTTCAAGGAGTCACTGTAGTGGAAGGCTTGGTGAGCCTGATCATATGAATTCTGGTTGATAGAGTGTCAGTTTACTCCCTGACTTTCTGGTCAAATACGAAATAATTCATTTGCTGGTTTCTCCTTCTCTGAAGGCCCCTAAAACCAAGGAATAAAATTTGGTGGACCCTGCATGTTTCCAACTTCAACATAGGGGTGATTACAATTTAGAATTTTTTTTCGCTCTGTGTTACCCACTTCAATATATGGGAAATGGAGCAATGAAGTTTTCCTGAAATTCTGATACCAGATCAGGTGTTTTTTATAAACAGATTTAAGAAGTAAAAGGGTTTTATGATACTACACTGAAAACGATTTTTACAATGCTTTTGCCCTCCAAATTCCAAAAGAATATCAACCAGTTGAATAGCTCATTTACAATGAGGAAAATACAACTGCTTTGCTGTCAAATGCACATACAGGGACCCATAGCTAATCCACAGTAAAAACAAAATAAAATCAAACCTTGTAGAACTCTGTGGTGTCCCTACCTGTGGCCACTGAATCAAACACATCCCTGGGGAAAGTAATCACATGCTTATCTACTGGGAAGTGTCTTTCATTCTAGGATTGTAGCCTGCGTTACAGTCCAATGATACTGGATAAACACAAAGGAAAGATTTGCTTTTACAGCAATATTGACATGATGTTGTCAGAAACAACTTAGCATTAAACTTGATTGCTGTGACTATCCCAGTGGTTGTCTGGTGGCCTCTAGGCTAGAAAGTCTAAATTAATGATTCGTAAATAATGATTCATCTTGTCAAGGTAATCAGACTTGAATAATGTTTCTAAGTTTTGTGTCATTTTTTTCTTCTTCACATCAGTATAAGAATATCAGTGTGGCGTCCAGTTAGGATTAACAAGCCATCTTTTCACTTGTAGAAAACTGAAGCACCTGAAAAAAAAGAAAAGAGAATAATTATAAAAGTGTGTAAATCCCTTGACTTTGTGTGAGAGAAGAACAATGGTTGAAAAATTGAACTGGTAAACTTTATGGCTATGAATAAATACATTGAGGTAGTTATTTATTCTCCCTTGGCCCCCACATCTTCATTTATAAAATAAGAAGCTAGATGAGCCCTGGCCGGGCAGCTCAGTTGGTTAGAGCATGGTCCCGATACACCACGGTTGCAGGTTCTATCCCCAGTCAGGGCATATACAAGTATCAACCAACAAATGCATAAATAAACGGAACAACAAATCAATGTTTCTCTCTCTCCCCCTTTCCTTTTCTCTCTCTGAAATCAATAAAAACATATTTTAAACAAACAAAAAAAGAAACTGGACTTACACACTTGTGTCATCATAAATTTCCATAGAACACAAAGGACTGGATCAGTTTTTCTGAGTAATTATCTTCCAGCTTATTGATCTTACCTTTTAGAAAAATGACAGCAGTGCTATGCTATAGGGATAGACCAAGGTCTAAATGTCTTAGGGTCATCTCTTGGGATCTAAGAAAGAAAGCAAATTCAAAACTTAATATCATAAGACCACTGCATATATTTTACCAGGAAAAGTATATCAAATCTGTAGGTTTGGGGAAATTTTTCTGATGGGAGGAGGTAGCTTTTCCTGGGGAATACCCTTTCTTTCCAGGGTCAACTCTGAAGAGACAGGGGGTCTGGTATTGTGATATCTGCTGCTCTTCTTGTTGTTAAGTAAGAAGACACTCTATTAGTTATCTATCCTTTTTACTTCCAAGATGTGAATCTCACAGAGAATTATATTTCCTATGAACACATTTGCAGGGTTAGGGAGGGTGGAAAGGGGAGTGGTTAGGTTGAGAGTTGTTTCTGTTGGTGCCTAGGGACCAGGACTCCTGTGCCGTGATTTGAGAGCAGCTCTGTCTACACCTTCAGCCAAATGGTTTTTGTCCAGAACCCCTGCCAGTTAAAACCCAGGCTCATTCCCCTATCCTGGCCTTCAAGCCCCAAGAACTTGACTTGTGAATCCTTCCTTCTTGTGGTCCTCAATTCCTGTTTCCTCTGCTGGGAATGCTCTCCCTTAGGTTTGGCCAAAAAAGCAGAAATTACATTCCTTGTCTCTGCTGTTAGGCTTTTTTGCCCAAAGAGTTGACTTTTAGTTACACAGGTGTAAAAGCACAAACCTCCCATAAATAACGAAAAGTTATGAGGGTTCCAAAAAGTTTCCTCCTAATATTTATTTCATAAAAGTACAAAAAGAAGACAAAAAAACCCACAAAACAAACAAAAAACCCCAAAACAACCATGCAACTCCTATCAGGATAACTTAACAAATTCTACTCTTCCTGTTTGCTCTTAATCTGTAATGAAATATGAATGGAGGGCTAGGTTTGCCCTTCACAAAGAGACGTCCCTGATTCTCTACTTAGCTGCTGTGACGGGTATCTTATTTACAATCAGCCCGTTGCACCTGCGCTGGGCGGGCTGGACGCTGGACAAAGCTCCTCAGTAGTCTGAGGTCGATTCAGGTCAACTCTCCTGCTAAAGGTGATGGCAATTTTTAGTCTCTTCCAAAACCTGCCTCCTGTTCTTTCCACCAGACCTGGGTTCCTGGAGTACACTTGGCTTTGGGACCCAGATCAACACTCATTATCTTGCTACCTCGGCCTTCTTGGGTCTTACCTCCTCCCTAGCTCCTTGAATGAGGACATAACTTTCTTTCTTTTTTTTTTTTTTGGTTTCAGAGACCCAGACCTGGGACTTAAGCTGCTCTTCCTTGGCCTTTGGTGACCTTCCCTTTATCTTCTCTCTTGTTTGGTGCCATCGACCCCTTCCTCCCTCCTCCTCTTCCTCCCTGCGTGGTTCTTGATAGCTAGAATGAAGGCAATATGTTCTCAATGGCTGTCAAGATGGAGTCCACTTTTAGTTAAATCTCAGCTTCTGAGATAGGTCTGTATCCGGTCTCATTGGTGTCAAGGCCTAGTGTCAGTGGTAGCTGCCATCAATCCAGAATTCCTCCTCATCATCTTCATCGTCATTATTGTGTAGTAAAGGATTAACTCAGCAGGCTTGGGTTGTCCAACCTCTGCACATTCCAAAGAAAGAGCCCTTGACCAGCCCCGGGGAGATAACACCTAAATAAACCCTTGAAGGATCCTGTCTGATTAGAGTGTCTGTCTACCTGAGGCATTGGGCCAGGGGGCATCACCTGACCTCTGGAAGGGCTGGACACAGTAACTCAGGTCAGCGATGCAGGTGCCCTGTGCTACGTCACTGATCCCTAGTGAGAGCCCAGAACGCCAGACTCAGGTGAGCTTCCCAGGCGGTGGACACTTTGTGTTCCTTCTCCCACCTTGTTGCTGGGAGAATGCAGTGCTGTTGGTGTAGCTCCACTGGGAGGGGCCGCTGGAAGCTCCTATCCAGTCTCTCCTGGACTTCGCCCTATCTGCCTTGCCCTTGGCGGATGTTAATCTGTATCCTCTCCCTGGAAGAAACCCAAACCAGGACTACAAAAGCATTCTAAGTCCGGTGAGTCCATCTAGCAAGTCTCTGAAGCTGACGGTGCTCTTGGGGACTTCAGACTCCATCATCATCATCATCATCATCATCATCACCATCATCATCAACGTATATTGACCACTTCCTACGTATGGTCACCTGCTAAATGCTTTTCACATATTACCTACTTAAACCTTACAACAACCCTGTGAAGGAATTATAATTATCCTCTCCACACGCCTCCTCCCCCATTTTATAGATGAGGACACGGAGTGATCAGAAGAGTAAGTAAATCCCGAAAGGGAGAGCTGAGATGCCAGCCTGTCCTCCGGCTCCAGGCCGTGTCCTCACTGAGTTAAAGCAGTGCCTGGTACGCCTTTCCCTCCCGAGATAAGACCTCTTTCTGTCTCACATCCTGCCTTCCTTCCTCCCTCTCTTAATCTCAGGGAATTCAGCTTTGCCTTCTCCCCCCCTCTCTCTTCTGATTCTCCCTCCCGAAGGAGTAACCTTCAGGGACCAGGTAGGAGAGCTTTTAGGTGCAAACATATACATTTAATGACAGTATCCGATAAGCCACCCTCGGTGGTCAGAAAGGCCCCTGCAGGGAGGAGTTGGGTCCAAGCATGGAGGGGAGCAGTCAGTCCCTGCCTCCTGGGACAGGCATGCTCCACGTGGCACCAGTTTCACAGCCCGTGAGAGCGCCGGTGACCTCCGCCAGGACAGCGCGAGAGGCCAGGGAGAGTGTGGAGAGAGAGAGAGAGAGAGAGAGAGAGAGAGAGAGAGAGAGAGAGAGAGAGAGGGAGAGAGAGAACACAGGTCGCACTGGAAGGGCGTGGGTGCAGCACCCCGAGGAAGGGAGGCACCGTGGGCGTCTCCGCTCTGAGCGGCCCCTGAGTCATTCCATCTCCCCGAGTCCACGTGGCCGGCGTGTTTGTGCCGCTGGAAGGCCCTGCCAGTGACTGCGGCGTAGCCTTCAGCAGAGCAGCCGGGAGACTGCGCGTTTCCACGTGCCGTCGGGTTGGTCCCAGAACCACAGGAAATGGGAACAGTCCCTGGGACAGGCTGCTCGCCTCTCCCTCTCAGAGAAACGGGAGGCTGTGCATGGGGGAGGGGGTCCAGCTGTGCATGGGGCGCGGGGCGGGGGGGGGGGGGGGGGGTCTTGTTCATGGGGAGGCTTTTGCATTGGGTGAGGAGGGGGGAAAGGGGAAAGGGCTTTTCCTTTGGGCGGGGGAAGG